GTAAAAATAACAGAAGCATAAAAAACTAAATTAATTAATTGTAATGAAAATGGTATAATTTGTAAAAAAAAAATGATACAAGTTATTTAGAAAGAAATGGCATAAATTATAAAAAATGGCATATAAGAATGGTAATGGTAATTTTAAATAATGGCATATATTGTAAAAATAATAGAGACATAAAAGGCTAAATCATTGAAATTGTAATGAAAATGCCTTAAAGTGTAAAAAAATAGTAAAACACAATTTTAAAAAATTGCATAAATTGCATGAATGAAAATGGCATAAATGATGAACTCATGGATGGTAATAAAAATAGCATAAATTAACGACACATAGTAAAAAAATAACATTAGCAAACATTTAAAAAATTATAAATTGTATGACTGAAAACGGCATGAATTGTAAAAGTATAAACATTTTAAATAATGGCAAAATGGTAAAATGAAAAGGGCATAAAATTCTGAATCCATGAATTCTAATGAAAATACCTTATATTGTAAAAAAATAATAGAATGTATTTAAAAAATTGTATTAATTGTGAAAATGTAAATTGACGGCTAAATTCATAAGATGTAATGAATATATATCAATTACAAAAAAGTATAGAATATATTTAAAAAAAAATGGCATAAATCGTGAAAATAAAAAATGCTAAATTTGTGAATAAAAATAGTAAATCTTGAAAATGACATGCATTTGTAGAGGTAATACATTTTATAAAATAATAATTGTAAAAACGTAAATGACCTAGAATACTAAATTTCTAAAAAAGAAAAAAATAATGAAATACATTCTAAAAAATACCATAAATTGTAAAAATAAATATGGCATAAAATGCTGAATTTTTTGCTGAATGAAATATTTGGAAAAAACGCCACTAAGAATGGCACAAAATATAGAGTTTATTACGAAATAAAGTAAATAAAATATCTTGTCGTTGATAATTGCATAAAACACTTAATAAAGAATATTAAATAATTACAAAAAATTGGTAGTGACATTAATCATGAAACATTCCACAGGCATAATTTACTAAAGTTAAAAATAAAAAAATATATATTAATAATAGTAGTAGTAATAATGAGCAAAAATTTATAATGCCATAAACAAATGAAAATATTAGAAAAAAGAGGAATGGCATAAAATTTAAAAATAAAAGTTTAAAAAAAAGTGGTAATGCCAAATTTATGTTTTTCGAAAAGTGAAAATAGTTAATTATTTATTGAAGAAAATGATAATCACCATTTCTTTCTTCGACAAAAATGGAAATGACAAGTTCTCAAATTTCAAATTTCTGTAGAGAGAAAAACTTCGTTTACATTTTAAACTTATCTTAATTTATCAGAATTTAGATTTTAGAAGTTTACATCTCCATAAAAATAGAAACAGCAGTTCACACCAAGCTCCCGTTTTCACATAGTTGTTTTTCACTTATTTTAATTTTTTTTATCGCACGTGTGGCATGTCGAAAAATTGATTTTGCCGATGAAAATTTATATTGATGAATCGTTGCGATGAACTCAGGTGTATCAATCGGGAATGGGGTTTGGGGAAAATGGTGGGAAATGGGGAAAAACGGGGGAAAACGGGGAAAAGGTGGAACAACAACGAGGTATTGTGATTTATGGATATCTGTTTTGATGTGAAAAATGACGTGGAAGAGATTTCTAGTACAATCTTGATATATATATATATATATATATATATATATAAACAATTTTTAATTTTTGGATAAATCTCATAGCAATTAATTTTGTTCGAATAGTGCAAATAAAACTGGTGATTGGCATTGATACTATTTATTTATCAATTATTTATAAAAAGTACAATTATGTATTAGAGTGACTACAAATAGTACATTTAGTGATCAATGTTTATTGAGAAGCTAGATGTTGATGTTTTGAAAATGTCCACAAAAAGTCTTGGTTGAATTTAAGGCTGTCGTGTTGAACAAAGTTGGTGAAAATTCCAAGTTCATTGCAGGAATTTATTGTTTCTTGTTCTTGATGTATTCATCATATTTACCTTCACATGCCACTCTGAATAATCCTAAAGGGCCAAGGTAAGAGAATAATTTGTAATTTTTACATTCCGGATGCTTTTTCAGAAAACCCGAGTCGATACTTTTCATTATGGGAGGCTACAAATACAATATAAATTAACATTTTATTATCACTAACAACTTCCAGAAAATCCTGGATAGTAAAATGTATTCTTACCCTGTAAGCATAAGGATATGCTTGATAATATGGTACATAATTTGGTGCATAAGCATGAACCACTGAAGAGTCATAGGAGAACCCGTTGGAACCAAAATTGGATCTGGAGACGACTCCACTGTCGTACGAAGGCAGAGGAACAACCTGCACCCTTAAAGGTTCTTCTAAGGCGAAACAGATGCCAAGGACCGATGCCAGAATTAGAAGAACCTTAAAATCAAAAATACTATTATTTGTAGTCTAAAGTTTTGTTTGTATTTATAATTGTGGTTGTACCTTCATTTTGTTAAAATTTCACGTCAACTGTCAAGAGAAGCTGATTGAAAAAACTGTGTCGACTCCAGTGGATGGTCGACACTTTTATACTAATTCGTGATGTCAGTCAAAATTATCAAATTTAGGTAATGGAAGTTGTAAAGCTACTTTTTGTGACCCCAAAGCATCGTAGTCAAGTTCAAGAATTGGAATGTTTATAAACAATGAATTCTTTCAGGACAACTTGTTTGGAGCCCTTAGGGGCATCATTGTCTATTTTCATATTATGAACTTGATCATGATGCTCTGGGGACACAGCAAGTTCTCTAACAACTTCCATCACCCAAATTTAATAAAATTTGACAGAATCACGAATTAGTATAAAAGTATCGACCATCCCATGGAGTCGATACAGTTTCCTCCATCAACTTCTCTTGACAGTTGACGTAAAATTTTAACAAAATGAAGGTACAACTGCAATTGTAAATATAAATAAAACGCTGCACTACAATTAATTGCATTTTTGGTTTTAAGGTTCTCTTAATTCTGGCATCAGTCCTTGGCATCTGTTTTGCCCTGGAAGAACCTTTAAGGGTGCAAGTTGTTCCTCTGCCTTCGTACGACAGTGGAGTCGTCTCCAGATCTAATTTTGGTTCCAACGGGTTCTCCTACGACACTTCAGTGGTCCATGCCTATGCACCAAATTATTTACCATATTATCAGGCATATCCTTATGTTGTAAGGGTAAGAATTGATTTATTCTATTTGGTTTATGTATCCAGGACTTACTTCGCTGTGCTCCGATAGCACCATAAAGTGCTAATCAAATGTTAATTTATATTATTTTCATAGGGTTTAGCAAGAGCAGATTTCGAAGAGGGTTTCTTGAAAAAGCACCCGGAATGTAAATATTATTCATATCCATTTCGTCCTACCCTCAGAAGGAAATGTAGAATGTTATATGATGAATACAAGGCAAATAAGAAACAATGAATTTCTTCAACAAACTTTAAATTTCTTCCTTTATAAAGACTTGTTTTCCTCCTGGATCCATCTTCTGGACATATTTAAAACATCAATTTCTTTCTTATTAATTTACATAAATATTATATCGAGTATCTATATTTTAACAACAGATTAATATACTTTCGCTAAATAAATAGTATCAATGCCAATCACTAGTTTTATTTGCCAATTCAAACAAATATTCAAAATTTCGAAATTTACAGAAACAGATAACGTCAAATAATTAAAATAGCAAAAATCTAATATAGTATAATCTATAAATCAAATTGAGAATTGAAAATTATCAAAATTTGAATTTGTATTACTGAAGTTTCGAATGACAAAATTTATCACAATAGAAATGTAGCATAAATAATAACTAGTTGTGTATGGCATCGTGCCTTAAGGCAAATTGCTGGAATTTCCTGTACCGTAATGAAATATTCTACAAATTTTAAACGTTTTCAAATATATTATTACAAATACTGTAACTTTCATTATTTTTGCTATCTTGTTATATTTGAGCAAATCAAATATAAATCATAAATCATAAATCAATTTATCTCCAGAACATTAACAACAATCGTCATTTCATTTCGAATTCAATTTAAAAAAAATAGTTGCCTAATTTACACAAAATTGGAAAAGAGTTACGTACGGTCACAGTCTAAACGCATTTGCAAATAATTCTGTGCGACATTTTCACTTATACTGTGCTTAGCATGGCGGCATTTTCACATTTTTCAATAGTTTTCACAAAAATGGAAAAGTGCTCCAGACATAAACAGTCTAAACGTACTCGGGTAAACATTTGTACCAGAGTGGAGATTAGACTGTGCTTAGCCTGGGTAATTTTTTGAGTTTTCAATCCAAAATTGCAAAAATATTCTTTGAAAAAAAATTCGAAACAATTTTTTGTTTCCAAAAGCAATTATTTTGTTGAAACAAGCAGAATGTTTTCGAATCATTTAAATCGGACGCTTAGTTCTCTCAAAAATTGCAATTTTTTTAACATTTAGTTCTGTATCTTTGAAATGGCGGGATCTGCCTTTGCCAAAAACAAATCAGCACATCTCCTTATCAATAGGAATCGAATATTTTTTAAACCATTCAAATCGGTTGATCCGTGCGCCCGAAAACGTAGACAAAAAATGCGGACATACAAAACACACACACACACATCCATTTTTTTCTGAGGTATGCCAAAATGTTCAGAAGCCTTCAAAATGTCGAGAAATGTAAAAATTTTAATTTTCGATTCTCGGCCCATTACTGTAACTACCCTAAGAGAAGTTCATAACAAAGCACGAAAGTTTATCCTAATGAATTAAAAAATGCAACAATTAATAATTTTTTTTTTCAAATTTCATAATTTAATCGGGTACATTATCTCCACTTTTACTACAGACATTAATAAATTGGTAACTGCTAGTGAACTAAAAATAGTACATTGAGTAATTAAGTTAATTAGAAAGTAATGTACTGATGATGTTCTGAAAGTGTTCATAAAAAGTCTTGGTTTAACATCAGACCGTCAGTAACAATTCATGAAGGATCCTAGAGAAAAACGAGTCCTGATGTAGAAATTTAGAGGAATTTCTAAGTTCGTTGAAGAAATTTATTGCTTTTTGTTCTTGATGTATTCATCATATTTACGTTCACATGTCACTCTGACAATTCCAAAAGAACCAGTATAGGAGTAGTATTTGTAATCTTTACATTCCGGATGCTTTTGTAAGAAACCCGGGTCGATGCTATTCATTACGGGAGGCTACAAATACAATATAAATGAATATTTTTTATTGTAAACCTTGGATACTAGAAATGTATTCTTACTCTGTGAGCATAAGGATATGCCTGATAATATGGTAAATAATTTGGTGCATAAGCACGAACCACAGAAGTGTCGTAGGAGAACCCGTTGGAACCAAAATTGGATCTGGAGACGACTCCACTGTCGTACGAAGGCAGAGGAACAACTTGCACCCTTAAGGGTTCTTCTAAGGCGAAACAGATGCCAAGGACTGATGCCAGAATTAGGAGAACCTTAAAATAAAAAATACAATTTATTGTAGTCTAAAGTTTTGTTTGTATTTATAATTGCAGTTGTACCTTCATTTTGTTAAAATTTCACGTCAACTGTCGAGAGAAGCTGATGGAAAAAACTGTGTCGACTCCAGTAGATAGTCGACACTTTTATACTAATGCGTGATGTCTCAAAATTAATCGAATTTAGGTAATGGAAGTTGTTAAAGCACTTGCTGTGCGCCCAGAGCATCATAATCAAGTTCAAAAGTCGAAAATAGACAATAACGCCCCTAGGGCTCCAAACAAGTTGTCCTGGAAGAATTCATTGTTTATAAACATTCCAATTCTTGAACTTGACTACGATGCTTTGGGGTCACAAAAAGTAGCTTTACAACTTCCATTACCTAAATTTGATTAATTTTGACTGACATCACGAATTAGTATAAAAGTGTCGACCATCCCATGGAGTCGACACAGTTTCTTCCATCAGCTTCTTTTGGCATTTAACGTGGAATTTTAACAAAATGAAGGTACAACCACAATTATAAATACAAACAAAACGTTCGACTATAATTAATTACATTTTTGGTTTTAAGGTTTTTTTAATTCTGGCATCAGTCTTTGGCATCTGCTTCGCCTTGGAAGAACCCTTAAGGGTGCAAGTTGTTCCTCTGCCTTCGTACGACAGTGGAGTCGTCTCCAGATCCAATTTTGGTTCCAATGGGTTCTCCTACGACACCTCAGTGGTTCATGCCTATGCACCAAATTATTTACCATATTATCAGACATATCCTTATGTTGTGAGGGTAAGAATATGTTTATTCTATTTGGTTTATGTATCCAGGTGCTCCGATGGCACCACGAAGTGCTAATAAAATGTTAATTTATATTATTTTTATAGGGTTTAGCAAGAGCAGATTTCCCCGACGGTTTCTTAAAAAAGCACCCGGAATGTAAATATTATTCATATCCATTTCGTCCTACCCTCAGAAGAAAATGTAGAATGTTATATGATGAATACTTGGCAAATAAGAAACAATGAATTTCTTCAACAAACTTGAAATTTCTTTCTTTATAAAGACTTGTTTTCCTCCTGAATAAAAACCTAAGACCTAAGATTATACCAAGATATCTTTCTGGACACATTCAAAACATCAACTTCTTTCTTATTAATTTACCTAATTATTATATCTAGTATTTATATTTTGACAACAGATTAATGTACTTTAGCTAAATAAATACGTATTATCAATGCCAATCACTAATTTTTATATCCATTTTCAAAACAATCTATGCCACATCTATTTTTTTATTAAATTTTGACTTTTCATTTAGTTAGATCATCATTTTAAATCATCATTTCTACTTTTTAAGAATTCATTGCCGTTTACAATTTTACAATATGTCATTTTTAAGGAATTTATGTTACAAGCAACTTTAGCAGTAATTTTAATTTGCAATTACATAATTTTCTAAATTTAAGCCTTTTTGTGCAATTATTTTGTATTGTAAATATTTAGTTGGTACATTATTAGACGTTTCTAGAATTTTATGCCAATCTATTTAATAATTTTATATTTTTAATAATGAAATAATTTTCTAAATTTAGCATCAAATGGGATTTTCTGCAATTATTTAATTATTTATATCCACTACTTTATGCTTTATCTGCATATTTAGAGTATTTGTCAAAGCTTTTCACCAATTCAAAAAAATATACATATTCTAATTTTGGCGAATTCCAAATATTAAAAATTTCGAGTTTGCAGAAGCATAAAACGTCAAATAATCACAATAGCAAGAAGATTTCAAATGGCATAATTTATCGCAATTTAAGAATAACAAACAAAAATCAATTTTATAAAATTTTCAGCATATAAAAACGGCAAAAATTGTTAAAAATTTAGATAAACGCATATATAAGTAATTCTTTGAAGTTGTAAATACATAAATAGAAAAATTGCATAAATTGCAAAAGTATTAATATCATAAAATGTAAAAATTGCAATTTTAATGTTTGGAAATGATATAAAGTGTAAATGTAGCATAAACTAAATAATACTAAATGGATAATAGTGAAACAAAATTTATTTGAAAATTAAGCAATAACTACCCGTAGGGTAATTTATAAAAATCGCAAAAAAATCGAAAATGAAAATTTTCGAAGAATTTTCGGATTTTTACGTTTCAGATGTTTCTGAATATTTTGGCATACCATAAAAAAATGAATGTGTATTTGTGTGTGTGTGTGTGTGTGTGTATGCGCGGATACAAATTTTCGTCAACGATTTCGGGAACACGGATCAACCGATTTGAATAATACAAAAAAACATTTTACTTGTATTGTCAAAATGCTATTTGGTGGTGAAAAATAAACATTACACCTATGTACATCGTATTATCAGATATCTTATGAAGATTATAATAATAGATTTTAATTGTAACAAATTTGGTGTATATTTATATGGGTTCTGTACCAATGTTTACACTACACTACAGCAACTACGCGGCGCTTACGCGCTTTGATATTTCGAAAGCAAATCTATGCAGCGCGATTGCTTAAAAAAATGTTCAAATTTTTCAAAAAAATAAAAATAAGATCGAATATGTGCGTAACAAACATATTTTATCTAAATAGTATTTCCACTTTGGAAACAAAATATGTGCAAATAAATCGCACATGTTAGAATATTGGTAAGATTTTTTTTTTTAACATTATGTCGTTGTTAAAAACGTTTAAAATTTCTGAAATATTTCATTATGGTACGGGAAGTTCCAGCAATTTGCCTTAAGGCACGATGCCATACACCCCACTAGTTTAATATTAGTTTAAAAGAAATATTTTTATAAGTAAAAGCTTAATGTCCTTGACAATTTGTAAGAAGTTCTCACAACAATTCACTCTAGTCTGAGAAAGTACAAATAAATGATTGCAATTGATACTATTTATTCACCAAATGTAATATAGTTGGGATACATTAATAAGTTGGCGGACTATAATTAGTTCATTCGGTAATTAAGTAAATTAATAAGCAAGAAGTTGATGTTTTGAAAGTGTCCAGGAGATGTCTTGGTATAATCTTAGGTCGTTCTGGATCCAGAAGGAAAACAAGTCTTTATAAAGAAAGAAATTTCGAGTTCGTTGAAGAAATTCATTGGTTCTCATTTGCCAATAAGTATTCAGCATATAACTTTCTACATTTTCGGAAATTGGGGTCAAAACTACCAAATATCAGTGATTGACCTCTACATTCCGGATACTTATTCACGAAATCAGCATATGAACGTGTTGCTAATTCCTACAAAAACAATTCAAATTAATATTTTAATATCATAAAAAAATCCTGGATACTTAACCTTAATTTCATGTGCATATTCTTACCCTCACAACATAAGGATATGCTTGATAATATGGTAAATAATTTGGTGTATAACGAACCAACCAGGGGTTGTAGTACCCGCTGGGAACAGAATTATATCTGAAGACGACTCCACTGTCGTACGAAGGCAGAGGAACAACCTGCACCCTTAAAGGTTCTTCCAGGGCAAAGCAGATGCCAAGGACTGATGCCAAAATTAAAAGAACCTTAAAACCAAAAATGTTATTAATTGTAGTCAAACGTTTTGTTTGTACTTATAATTGTGGTTGTACCTTCATTTTGTTAAAATTTCACGTCAACTGTCAAGAGAAGCTGATGGAGGAAACTGTGTCGACCCCAGTGGATGGTCGACACTTTTATACTAATTCGTGATGTCAGTCAAAATTATCAAATTTAGGTAATGGAAGTTGTAAAGCTACTTTTTGTGACCCCAAAGCATCGTAGTCAAGTTCAAGAATTGGAATGTTTATAAACAATGAATTCTTCCAGGACAACTTGTTTGAAGCCCTGGGGGCGTCATTGTCTATTTTTGAATTTTGAACTTGATTATGATGCTCTGGGAGGGCAGCAAGTCTCTAACGATTCCATTACCTAAATTTAATTAATTTTGATTGACATCACAAATTAATATAAAAGTGTCAACCTACTGGAGTCGACCCAGTTTCTTCCATCAGCTTCTCTTGACAGTTGACGTGAAATTTTAACAAAATGAAGGTACAACTGCAATTATAAATACAAACAAAACGTTCGACTACAATCAATAGTATTTTTGATTTTGAGGTTCTCTTAATTTTGGCCTCGGTCTTGGGCATCTGCTTTGCCTTGGAAGAACCTTTAAGGGTGCAAGTTGTTCCTCTGCCAACGTACGACAGTGGAGTCATCTCCAGATCTAATTTTGGTTCCAACGGGTTCTCCTACGACACCTCAGTGGTTCGTGCCTATGCACCAAATTATGTACCATATCACCCTTATGCTGTCAGGGAATTAATTGACAAGGATGATGTTCGTAATGCTAAGAAACTTTTAGAATAAATGACAGTGCTAAGATAATGGTAATTTATCTTGTTTTTGCAGTTTTATTATGATGGTATTGATGACAAGATTTTCTTTCAAATGCATCCAGAATGCTCTATTCATCTCTTTACAAAGAGATGCGAATTGTTGTATCATGAATTCGTGATAAACAACTTTCGATAATTTTTTTCAACAAACTTGGAAATTTCACTAAGGTTCTTTATCGTGGCTCTTTGTCATCCTGGATTAATACTGAATTGTTGCTGATGACCTAATATTATACCAAGACATCTTTTGGACACTTAAACAACTTCTTGTTAATTAATTAAATTCATTACTGAATGCATTATTTATAGTCCATCAATAGTTTAGAAATTATAATTGATGTAGCTTTAAATAAAATAAAATGTAACTTTTGTTAAATAAGTAGTTATAATACCGATCACCAATTTTATTTACAGATTTTGAGTAATATGAATTGCTGTAAGAACTTGTGACTAATTTTCAATAAAATTATGTTAATTGATAATTGTACCATATAACACCATCTTTTTTGTGAAAGTAAACGAAATTACGTATACTACACTTGGTAAGAAATTCTACAAGAAATAATTAAAACCTAATTAGGACCATGAATAGCTATTAACAATTAAATAACATACAAAATATGTATGGCCTAGCTGTAAGATGCGAAAA